CAGGCTGATGACGCGCAGACGCGGGCGGGAGGCGCGTTCGGCGCGGGGCCGACGCGGACGGATGACGTGCAGCGCGCGGGGCGGCTCGGCAGCATGGCGTCCGTGACGCTGAGCGAGGCGGAGAAGGTGTACATTGTGCACGGCGTGCAGGTAGCGACAGCTGTGTCCTTGGCCGCGGGTTCCCCTGGCCCTCGGCTCGCCGGGGAGGGAGCGGCCGGGGCGCCGCGTGGCCGAGTTTACTTTGGGATTAAACGGCTCTGCGGACGGCGTTTACAGCCCAAAGTCGGCAGCGCGGGCCTTGTTAGGACTGTGTGCCTACTTGCAGCTTTCTGGGTGGATAAGATTCCGAACCCGGGCAGAGAGCGGTGGGCAGTCCCTAAGGCTTTTTTTTAGTGAGGGAGCATCGCCCCCAGGGCCATCCGTTCAGCCTTCGCGCACGTCACTGGGCCGAGCCTTAGTTTTGTCTTCCAGGAAATGGGGGTTTGGGGGTGGGCTTCTGGCATTCTTTTCCTCACCGCGCGGTTGGAAGGTGCAGAGAATGCACCCGAGGTGGAAGCGCCTTGAAAATATAAATCGCCTCCCAAATAAAGAGTGAAAAGTGTTTAAGAAAGGCTTGGCAGCCGGACTAGACGTGATCCTTTTCCTAAAGGGGTTGCTTACTACTAGGGGAGGCATTTTGGTCTCAGTTCTCCCCTGGGAAGCTCTGAGGTATTGGGAAAGTCCAAGCAAGGTAAGGAGGGATTAACATGACCTCAGAGAACACTTCAAGTCTGAAATCCACTCAGGTGTGTTGGATTAATAGAGCCGACTTGTAGCTTCTATTAAAGAGTAATAGGACTGGGTTACCTGTCTGTGAGGAAAAGCAGCTCTGGGCTGAGTTGAAACTTGGTGCCTCAGTTTCCTCATCTGTAACCTCCCTCCAGTGTTGCTTTAGAGAATCAGTGAGCTAATAAATGACCCTAGAAGCTGAGAAAGGGAACTGCTTTGGGGGGGATTCCTGTGTGTTACATTGTGCAGAGGATGCTCTTTAAATGATTTATGATGTGTGGATTTTCCTAAATAGGCTCAAAGCTGTAGAGGAACTTGCTCAAGGTCACAGAGCTGGTATGTGACACTTGCTCAAGGTCACAGAGATTTAGGTATGAGTTGGAAGGTGATTCTTTCCACCACACCACACCACACCACACCACACCACACCCAACTGGTAGGGTTGTTGTGATCACATGGGTAACAACTGCAAGTCACCAACTGCTATCCCAGCATCTAGAAGCCCTTGATCTGAGACGGACAGGGCTCCACTCCATGCTGTTGCTCATCAACTGTTGACATTCCTATTGATTTTTAAAATGGAGCTTTTACTTCAGGGAAACCCCTGTTTCAGTGTTTACACATGGATTAATTCTTTTGCTCCTGAATATTGCAGATAAATAAAAATTGTGGCAGGGCACCAGGCTCTGAGCCAGGCCAGGCAAGTTTGGGTATTTTCCTAAGCCTTTCATAAGGAAAACTGGATCTTTTAAAAAAAGTTACCCTGAGTGCAGTGATTCATGGATGAATTAGGTTTTTTTGGTTTTGTTTTTTTTTCTCCTATTGGCTGCTTTTTTTATATGAAAAAAAAATTATTCCCTATGCATCCTTTGGAAGGAAAATTAGTAGCTTTTCATTTGTCTTTTACTTGTCACCCGAGCCTTCCCCAGGAGGCAGAGTGTGAATTAAAGGATGGAAAGGCAAGATCTGATGAGGCCCAGTTTTCTGACACCCTGCCAGCCCCATCTTGGTACAACTGGGTTGTCACTAAAAAGAGGTGTGACTGAATCTTTCTAGATTGAACGGTATTTTTTTTTTTTCCCTTTGTCTTTTTTCGTGTCCGGCAACGGATCACAACCCTCAGTGTCGCGCCCGTACTGGACCGGGACCGGCAACGGGATCGCAACCCTCGGTGTTGCTCCCACACCTTGCTCAGCCAGTGAGCGGGAACCGGTCTGTATGTGGGATCCGAACCCTTGGCGGGAGCGCCACCACACTCCCAAGCGGCGCACTGCAGCAGTGCGCCACCGGGCCGGCCCCAATTGAACGGTATTTTAAAAGCAGTAGTTGGAAGCCCTGTGACCTTCTGGCCTATCTGCTTTCAGAGTCAGTATCATTATCAGGACCACCTGGAATAGACAGCCAGTTTGTCCTTTGAAGGAGGCCTGTGCTGACTCCTTTTGTAAGGTGAAGAGACCTTTTAGAACGCATCAGGCTGTGTGGAATAGTGGTTAAGAGCTCTGGCTTGGAGCTCAAATACTACTTATTGGTGGTGTAACCTTGAACCAATTTTTTTTTTTGCATTTTTCAACCTTAGTTTCCCCATTTGTAAGGTGAAATGAATAATAATACTATCTTACAGGGTTATTGTGAGGACTAAATGCATTAATTTTGTGTTGTGCCTAGCACATCTGGTATACAGTGAATGCACAGTAAATGGCTGCTATTATTTACTGCAAATATTTGCAGCCATTTTAATGTACAGATCTGTAGAATTAGAGAATCACCTTTGAGACTATCTAATTCAATCTCCATCTTTTACAAATGAAGGAACTAGTCCAGAGGGGGAAAGGACTTATCATGATTAAGTGACTAGTTAATGGCAGGACCAGGCCTGGAACGCATGACAAATGCTCCTACAGATTGCTCATACTTGTGCTATACTTGCAACCCATTAAAGATTCTTTGTAAATGATGTTTCTGGGCTGGGCTTTCACTTTCCCAGCTGGGCATGCCTAGGGGATGGGGCAAATGAGGGTGGGGAGGGGATGGAGTGTCAGAGATTGACCTAGAAAGCCTTCAGAGTCTGTGGGTGGTGTTGTGAAGAGACACAGTTAATAGTTATGGCATCCTCCAGTGAAGAAGGATCACCTTATGGAGATCTACCCCAAAGGCTCCTAGACTTGAATTTCTGTTGCTTTTCAACTACATGACTCAAGATAGGGATTGCTTCCGGGGAGGGGATAGGCTGCAAAAGGGACTTCCACCTGATTTATGATGTTTATTTTCTCCCAACTAAAAGGAGTTGAGGGCTGGCTGGTTAGCTCATTTGAGTAGAGCTTGGTTTTACAACACCAAGTTCAAGGGTTGGGATCCCCGTACTGGCTAGCTGCAAAAAACAAACAAACAAATAAATAAAAGGAGTCGAGAGGGTGAAAGAGCTGAAGCAGATATGACAGGTGGCAGTAGTACTGTGGGGGGGAGCATGCAGCAGTGTTTTGCTTTTCTCTTTAATTTCTCAAAATAAAAAAGTCCGCTATATACACAGCTAGCCAGGCAGTTTAAAGTTTCTGATGGTCATGTACTTCAGAGGAGTAATTTGTTTTTTTAAAATATATTTTGGGAGTGAACCCCTTTGAGAATCTGATGACGCTGATTCTTTTTCTGAAGAAAACTGATTTCAAAAAAATGTTTACAAAGAATGAGGAAGATCTTTGTGAGCTGATGTGGAGTGATTTCCTGCATACTTATTGTTAAGTGTTTTTTTTTCTCCTTTTTTTGTCTTTTTTACTGATCGGTAACGGGATCGCAACCCTTGGTGTCGCATATTTCTCTAGGCGGAAAAAAGGAGTGAATCAGTTTAGAAGTCTGTTACTGGTTTGAGATCACAGCCTTAGGATTGTGGTTGTTGCACTTAGGAAGACCTCCGCGTGGATGGCCGTGGCTGTGAGGACTACCGGAGTGTTGAAGTGGAAACAGATGTGGTGTCCAACACCAGTGGGTCTGCTAGAGTCAAGCTGGTGAGTACTGTGGCTGCCGTTCATGTTCAGGTGGGAAAATGGCTAGGCTCTGGGGAACCATCTGCAGGTCTCTCCTGGCTTTTGGAGTACATATTGCTCTTGGGGAAATCCAAGACCCAAGCCAATCTCAGGGAGGGGGTCTAACCAGATCTGAAAGACCCCTCACCTCCTTAAAAAGCCACTTTCCAAGTTGCAGCACTGCTCCGAAGAGAGTCCCTATGGGAGTATGTCCAGAAGAGGAGGGAGGCGGTTGGGTGTCTGGCTGCCTTCCCTGAGTGAGAGTCTTTCTTGCATGTGTCTGCAGGGTCACACGGACATCTTGGTGGGAGTGAAAGCTGAAATGGGAACACCAAAGCTGGAGAAACCAAATGAAGGCTACTTAGAGTTCTTTGTGGACTGGTCAGTACTCTGCAGGTGTTTTGAAAGAAAAATGATTTTAAAAATGGAGATTCAGAAAATGAACCTCTAATTTCCTATTGAGCCCACTCTTATTTTGTATTTATTTAATCATCATTCAGCTATCCAGCAGGTATTTAGTGACTTCTCTCTATGTGCCAGGTGCTAGGAGGTGTTTGGCTCAAGTCCTGCCCTTGCCTTAATCACCTGACCCTTGTTGGGCCTTGTTTTTACCTGTCTGAAAAAGGAGGATGTCTGCCAGAGAGCCCAGCGCATGGTTGTTCTGAGAGTCAAATGAAATGATGTGTTGTGTTATGGTGCTTTGAAAAATATCAAACACACATGGTAAGGATCACTTATTCTAAAATGCGCTGTTTCTCTTCCTGCTGTAGATCTGCAGAAAACAGTTCATGATGTACTTGGCTGACAAGGAAGAGTGAGGGCTCTGCAGTGTCTGCAGCCAACCTTGAGCCAGAATTTCACTTCTCTGGCCTACTGTGTGCCCTAAGACTAGTTACCCAGTCTCTCTGTGCTTAAATTTCATCCAAAAAATGCTAATATAATACTGTGGTGATGATGAGGAAATGAAAAGAGTGAGCACCTGGCACAGTGACTGGCTCCCAGTGGGCTTTTAATAAATGTTATTTCTCTTCCCCTTCTAAGGGTTGGGGTTTTTCACTGGGTTGTTGGCCTAATCCCATGTTCTACTATATAACCTTGCCTCTTGAAGCCAGGTGGTGACAGAAGACCTTCTTGAAGTGGGTAAGGATTTCCATTGGTCATGTTAAGTGTAGGTGTAAAATATTGATATTGTATTGGAGGGTCCCCAAGACCACTGCTGCATTTGGAGATTTGCTAGAAGGGCTCACAGGACTTAGCATATATTTGTACTCACAGCTAAGGTTTATTACAGCAGTGAAAATGCAGCAACTATCTGTGACATTTTTGCCCAGGAAAGCCTATTAGAGACTTAGCACCCAAGATTTTTACTGGGGGCTGTTTACATAGGCACCTTTTGCTTAACACATACCAGAATTCTAGACTCCTAGTTGGAAAGCAAGTGTTCAGCATAAACCATATTATTTGCACAGTTTGGGCACAGTGGACCTAAATTGTGCAAAAATTTTTTACCCATCAGTTTGTTGTTGATTGAGAATGCTTTGAGAGCCAAGTTCTCAAATGCCAGCCAAGGGCCAACCTTGCAAGCAGGCCCTTCTAAAAATAGCAGCCTCAGGCTACTATGGTAGCCCTTTTCTGCACAGATGCTAACCCCCATTTGTAGAGTGAGTCACAGTCTTCCAGTGTTCACTTCCAAGCACAGAAGTTGATCCTCTCAATGCTCCTGTGAGAGATGACAAATGGACATTTGGAGATTTGCTAGAAGGGCTCACAGGACTTAGCATATATTTGTACTCACAGCTAAGGTTTATTACAGCAGTGAAAATACAGCAACTATCTGTGACATTTTTGCCCAGGAAAGCCTATTAGAGACTTAGCACCCAAGATTTTTACTGGGGGCTGTTTACATAGGCACCTTTTGCTTAACACATACCAGAATTCTAGACTCCTAGTTGGAAAGCAAGTGTTCAGCATAAACCATATTATTTGCACAGTTTGGGCACAGTGGACCTAAATTGTGCAAAAATTTTTTACCCATCAGTTTGTTGTTGATTGAGAATGCTTTGAGAGCCAAGTTCTCAAATGCCAGCCAAGGGCCAACCTTGCAAGCAGGCCCTTCTAAAAATAGCAGCCTCAGGCTACTATGGTAGCCCTTTTCTGCACAGATGCTAACCCCCATTTGTAGAGTGAGTCACAGTCTTCCAGTGTTCACTTCCAAGCACAGAAGTTGATCCTCTCAATGCTCCTGTGAGAGATGACAAATGGAGTTCAGAGAGGGCAAGTGACTTTCCCAGGGTCACATAGCTAAGTATGCCAGCTCAAGTCTATCCAACTCTGAATCTTTGCCTTTCTACATGCAGCCTACAGAGGTGAGCTTTAGAGGGGCATTGTGGGGCCGGCCCGGTGGCGCACTGTAGCTTGGGAAGCGCGGCGGCGCTCCCGCCGAGGGTTTGGATCCCACATACAGACCGGCCGCTCACTGGCTGAGCGAGATGCGGGAGCAATACTGAGGGTTGCGATCCCGTTGCCGGTCCCGGTCCAGTATGGGTGCGACACTGAGGGTTGCGATCCGTTGCCGGTCACGAAAAAAGACAAAAAGGAAAAAAAAAAAAATAGAGGGGCATTGTGCTTGGAGGTCCAAGAACTATCCATGTTTACCTTTATGGATAGTTTTCCTTCCAGTGTATTCCCATCCCCTACCCTGGCTCCCCAAGCAGTCTCCTCTCCTGGTTCTACCCAGCTGCTCTTACTAGTCTGAGTTGTCCAGCAGAATTGGCCCATCCTTTAAGTTACTGTGGGTCATGGTGACTTTGTTCAGGTCCCCAGCTTGTCCCTTCCTTTTCTCTTAGAGGAAGCAAAATGCCCCTCCTGGCCTCAAACTGCTTAATTCGATGCAGTAAATAGTCACTGAGGAGCAGACACTATGTGTGAGAAAGTGTAATTTGCTTTCCTTTTCTTCCCCTTCATTATTTTCTACTTCATTCGTCTTAGGCAGACCAAAGACAACCAGCTCTACCACACCAAAGAGAGGGTGTTGCACTCGGAAGCTTGATACAGGGAGTACATTTCACTGTGGCTCTGTGTCTGAACATGACTCGATATTAGCCTGTTGCTCTTGTCTTTTCTTGTCCCAGCTATAAAGGGAGGGTGACTCCAGTGTGAGGAGACTTTGAGCTGCCTCTTCCCAAGATCTGGCCTCTAGAAGTAGCCTCTCTTTCCTGCCTGAGAGTGACTGCCTGTTGGTCTCTTTTCCTCCTTTGTAAGTCTCAGAAGTACCCTAACAGGCCGACGAGCTGCAGTTTCTAGGTAGTTCTTCTGAATCTATTTCTCATTGTGGATAGTCTTAAGGTGGCACACTTTAGCTTTTTAAGTGGCTCAGCTAACGTGAACAGCCCAGCAGGTTGATTCAATCACCATGAGAGATTCACAAAACTCCGTTTTCCTAGAGATGGGAGAGGTTACCAAGCCCTGCTGGCTGCCACCTGTATCAGAACCTCACTAAAATCTTCAGTGTTAATTGCATAAACACACTAATCTTTTTATTCCTATCCAGTGAATAGGAATGGCTTCTGGGCACCTCTGGATGGGCCCAGCAGAAAGTGTGCAATGCCCCCACCCCCACTCCCCCTGCCCCGGCCCCAGTTCTGCTGGAGAGGTCAAGGTATTCACTTATGTACAGGCTGAAACACAGTTGCTCTCCAGTGGGAGGAAAGTAATTGGGGGCTAGGGGAGATCCCTCCTGCCACTCTGACCTTAGCTCAATTTAACTCCTTATCAGCAACTTCCAAGGTTTAATTATTTAAATTCCCAGTGATAGGTCTCAGAAAACTAATTGCTTTTCTGCTAACTCATTTCACTTCAGTTTTGTCTACTTGGAGTGATAATACATGGAGGTGAGATAGACACTGCTTCCCACCTGCATAATATACCCTGTTTCTTGGGAATGATGAGAAATCTTGGTATCAGTCTCATAGCCCTTTGGAAAGGGTGCCTGGCTGCACTGACCCTCAGGCCTGCTCCAGAGGTGCCTGGCAGCACTTCCACTAAACTGGGAACAAAATTGGACCTTCTAACTCCTATCTCATGTCTTTGATTCACCGGTTGTAGCCTGAGACTAGCAAAATATGGTTTCCACGTAAATCCCAGAGGAAGGCAAGTATTTAGTGAGGTGGCATGTCAGTCTGAGCTTCCACTAGATGGTGGGCCATCAAGTCGCTTCTCAGGTCTCTGGCCATTGTGTTGACAAGTTTAGGACTATGGTTTAGCCTCTCAGAGACTTGGGTTTTTAAGGGGGGAGTTTTGGGGAACATATTTCATTCATGCATGTTTCAGTATGCCCAGCACTTATCACTTCCCTGTGGGACCTTAACTACTTTTCAATGTGATCACTTGTATTTTTCACTAATATTGAACTTGAATCTTCTTCGAGTCCTGCTTTGGTAGGTGGAGTGACTACATCTCTGTTCCTTGCATGCTTAGTGCTGCTTGAAGGGGCACTGTTCTTAGCTAACAGGCTGGGAATGGGGCAAAGCAGAGAGGCAACCTGCAGATGCCATTTGAGGCTATTTGTATCAAAGTCTCCAGAGCTGATGAGATAAGTCTCCCAGAAATTTCAAAGCTTAAAATGTTCTGCTATTCCTGCAGGGAAGCTTCTGTAGCCTCAAAATGAGCATGTGTACACACAGAGGAATCATCCTTGGGAACTGCCTCAGTGCTAGATGACTACTGCAGGGGTTAAGACTCTGAGTTAGCTATCCTTGCTGTAGGTACTGGCTAAACTGCTTTTTTCTGCTGTCGGCCTGACCTGGCTGTAAGACTCCATAGACTTTTAAGCTAGATTGATTGCAAGGGAAGCAACAATGGGCCTAGTGTCTAGATTCCCATTCCAGATAGACATGTTCTTGATCTCAGCTTACCCCAGTCAGACCACAGATGCACCAAACAGGAGGAGCAGGGTGGAGGTGATGAGTCAGGAGGGGTGGAGAACTGGGAGGAACAGCGTTCCCAGGATCTTTTCTAGTTTATCCATCTCAGTAAGCAGTTTCTCACAGCGCTGGAAGAGGGACTGGTCATGCCTTATGAAGGGTCTGAATTGGTTTTGGTAACTGTAAATGCAGAAAGCATTTGGTTTCATGCTAAAAACAAACAAATAAACAAAAAAGCATGTACTTCCCTACTGAAAAAGACTATACTGTGATGCATATGAACAGGGGTTTAGAATTACTAGCCTGTGTCTCCCTCTCTCTCTCAACTTTGTATTTAACAGAGAAGCTTTTTATTTAGGGCTCTCTTGGTCTGCATTCTTTGACTCTGGCATTTCTGGTGCAATAATAAGTCCCTAGACCAGAGCACTTATTCATTACCTTGAGGCAAAAGATAAGCCCAAGGAAAGCTAATCTGACTGATGTTAGCCTACAAGCCAAGTGTGCAGAATTACATGTTCAGGGAGAGCACAGGGAAGCATAGCAGATGTGGGCCAGCTGCCCGGGCTAAAAGCTTAGCTCCCCAGACACTAGTCTTGTGACCTTGGGCAAGTTATATAATTTCTCCGGACTCATTTTCCTTATCTCTAAAATGGGGTGGCTGTGAAAATTAAATGAGTTAATGCATCTAAAGTGCAAAGAGTGTTGTTTAGCACATAGTAAACATTCAAAAAAGTTGTTAAAGTTTCCCTCCTTGTGAAATGAGAGTTGAACCATATGGGCTGTCACTGTCATCCTGCAGGTCAAATCCCATCTGTGAGTTTTTTGTTTCACTTAGAGAGGTTTTTTTTTTTAAGATGAATTTAAATGCCTTTAGACGAGTCTGGAAAGTTTGCCACAGTCTCCATCATTCCCTATTAATTACATGTAGCCCTTTGTTCAGATATGTGTAGTTACCTGGCTGGCCTCTGCAGGTATTTGTTTTTTTATCCTCTGGAGATGGTCTCAGAGGCCCTTTCCAGGTCTACATTTCTGTCCAACTCTGTTGGAAAGAGTTCTTGTGCTGTGAACGCCAGAGTGATGAGGTGGAACCCTCATTTCTCCATCTAGCCTCTTCATCTTTTGGCAGAATATGGGATTTCTGGCTTTTCTCATGTTACTCAAAGCATTGAATCCTATTCCCTACCCTGAACAATTGCCTTCCATTTTCCTCCCTTCTTCTCAGAGTCACCCCACTGCCAGGGCACCAACCAGACACAGGAGCATTCCATGGTCTCATGAGTCTCTAAACCTTCTTCTCTGCCTGACTGCTAGCTGTGCTGAAAAAATAATGCATTTTAAAAAAAGCAACCAAAAAGCTGTTTTAAAATGGGTAAAGTTTGGGGCCGGCCCGGTGGCGCACTGGATGGTGCGCCGCTTGGGAAGCGCGGCGGTGCTCCCGCCCGAGGGTTCGGATCCCACATACAGACCGGTTCCCGCTCAGCCCGCTCGCTGGCTGAGCGAGGCGCGGGAGCAACGCCGAGGCTTACAATCCCGTTGCCGGTCCCCAGTCCGGTACGGGGGCAACACTGAGGGTTGCGATCCGTTGCCGGACACGGAAAAAAGACAAAAAAAAAAAAAAAAATGGGTAAAGTTTCCACTTTAACTTATCCCAGTGTCAAAAAAACAACGGGACATAGTTTTGTAGGTAGATTAATTTAGATCATTGGATCTAGGAAGTTCTGTTAACCATCCCGTAGGGCTGTAGAGGAGTTAATGCATTATTCCCCAAGTAATTAGTCACACCCAGGAGGATATGCCCACTACATTCAGGAAAAGATAAACATTTTGAGCATAAACATCTCTGATTGGATTTGTCTACACAGAGATCTATATAGATGTATTTTTAAGCACTTAAAACATGGTACTTAATATTGATTGCTTAGTGTGTAAATTAGAAACTGATTGTATTTTGTTGGCTGTGCAAAATAAAAACTTTGTCACTGGTGACTTGATTATTTCACCATAAATGAGCTGCTTTTCATGGCTCAATGAGGGAGGACTGAGGTTGCTATGGCAGTAATTAAGTTTCTCTTGGGGATTTTAAATTATGGTTCTGGTGGCTGGTAGTGGTAAGGGAAGACTATATAATCAGAGAAGCAATGTTATTTTACAGTGATGTAATCTGATTGTTTTAGGATTCATTTTTACACCTATATTATTGAGTGAGATTTCTTCTAGTGTTACATGGGGTGGACATAGCCTTGGGCCTTTGCACAGGTTTTGCTTTACCTGGAATCTTGCCTCTCTGTGGCCTGACCAACAACTCCTTCTTATTATTAGGTTTGAGGTTTCCTCTGACCTCAATGCTAACTGACACCCTTGCCCCCCACCTCACTATGTGCCTCCCATCATGAAACTCTCCCTATTTCATGGTAACTGCTGACTTTGGGTCTGCATCTACCTTGCTCATTCTGTAGGTCTCTGGTGGCCAGCACAGGGCTGGGTGCCCTCTAGGTGGATGAAGTGTCTACAGTTTTGTAGAGTCCATGCTGAAACAGCTATTTCTTACCTTTCTGGACCTGTATTGTTACAGTAAAATGATTACTGTAATGTTTACTTATCTCACAGACATATTAAAGGTTTTTTTATGTTAAGCCAAAACTCTCAGAAATTTCCTGTTAAATACTTTTGAGTAGTACTTAGGGTAGCATATGTTGAAACTTGTTAGTTCTTTGTTGAGGTAATTGGGCAAAACTATCAAGAGGCCCAAAAAAGAAAAGTTTTTCTCTTGAAAAATATCAAATAAAGTAAATTGATATTTTTAATATTATTTTAAATATTTAATCAACCAACAGTCTTACTTTCATTCATTTTCCTACTTTTCAGTACAGTGATAATAACTCTGACATAAAGTGATACAGCTCTTCTAAATCATTCCAGAAAAGTTATTATATGAATATTTACGTTGTGATTTTTGTATTGAAAGGATCATATTGCATTCTAAGGCTGTGAAAACTAGGGCTGGCATATATAATGTAACCCCTCTGAAAGCCAGACTGTTTGATTCTTTAGGCCTCCCAGCTTCCTGGGCCTGCCAGGAAAGAGTATTTACTGTACTCTAAAGATAAGAGTTAATTATCACTGGCCAAGGTTCACATTACCATCCCTCTCTTGTTTCTCTTTGGCTAAAGAAGGCTTCTGTTAGAAGTCATTGGGAAGTTCCATCGCACACTGACTGATAAATCCAGGGCACACTGCATATGTCTGGAAGCTGCCATCCTTTCCTCATTTCAGTGGCTTTCCTTAGAGCAGCTGGCTCTTCCAACATTCCGCAGGGAAACTAGAATAAAGCTTTGCCCCTTTGCTCTTTGCATTTGGAAAGACTCACCCAGCTTTTCTGTTGCTTTTCTGTGTAGTTCAGCCAATGCTACCCCTGAATTTGAAGGTCGAGGAGGTGATGACCTTGGCACAGAGATCGCTAACACCCTCTACCGGATTTTTAACAATAAGTGCAGTGTCGACCTGAAGTCTCTCTGCATTAATCCTAGGGAGCACTGCTGGGTTCTCTATGTGGATGTGCTGGTGAGTATCAATGTTGCTGTCCCAGCCACACTTTACCTTTGTTGGAGAGCAGTTGGCCTACTTTCCTCCTTGTGTTTTTTCCCTCTTCAGGTGGATGCTTTCAACTGCCAGGGTGAGATTAGTTAGGAAGGGTGGAAATTAGAGATTTGCAGTGAGCATGAATGAAGTCTGTGATGAGACATTCTGGGTATAATTATTGACTCTGATTTAGTTTGGAAGGCCCAGGCTAGGGCCTGCCCATCTTCTGCAAACAATCACCAGCCTCTTTTTTCACTGCAGCCTTCTGTTGGGCTCTGAGAATAAAGGGATGAACAAAACCACAGAACCCCATCCTTTAGAAGTTCACAGTTCTGATGAAGAGGAGACAGACCCTAAACAAAAACACACAGAAAAATGTGACTTTTCTTTCTAATGTGTGACTTCTCTTCTTTCTTACTTGAGGCAGCCCAGTTGGCTTTATTCCATAACCTCAGGCCAAGGCTTCTCTAAAGTGAGGACAAAAGGGTGTGCCGCCTTCCACTTAATAATGTGCTCTAGCCTTCCCTGCTACATGAGCACACACAAGTGCAGTCAGCACTTTGCTCATGGGCAAAAGCTTGTAAGAAAGACCTTAGTTTTTATTATAATTAATGTAAAATAAGTAGTGTTACATGTTTGAGCATCAGGTGTACATTAATAATTGTGTATAAGAGGTAACTCCACTAGTACATGTGAACCTAGTAGCAGCTGCAGCAGCATTGGTGGCCACCGTTTTCTGCTTGTTTGGAGGCTAGCATATGTTGGCAAAGACTGGAGTAACACTTGTGGTGCGATCGGGAGCTATTTGGGGCAAAATAAAGGTAAGTCCCTCCTTCAGTTCATCGTCCACTGGCTTGCGTGCCTGTGATAGGAGCTCCTCAGTAGTCTGAGGCCTCTGAATGACCTTGCCTATGTGGCCCATGCAAGCACAGGCATGACAAGGCAGCAGTTGTAACCAGAGTGAATGTGCTGTAGCAGTGAGCTGTGGTCACTACGTGGCTAGCCAGGAGAGCAGCCACTTGTTCTTATCTTTATTTTATAAACACATATTCAATCAGCATTTCTTAGGAATCAGTGTCCTTTAACTGGGGTAGTACTTAAAGTAATAAATAATGGTTTCTTTTTCTTCCCTCCTTGTCTCCCTTAGCTGCTGGAATGTGGTGGAAATTTGTTCGATGCCATTTCCATTGCTGTAAAGGCTGCTCTCTTCAATACAAGGTAAGTCTTCCTAGGAACAGCCCCATGTGCCTACAGAGAACCAGAGCAGACACTTGGAAACACTAAGTAAAACACTAAGGAAATATCTACTGTACCTCAGGTGAAGATAACAAGGGTTTTTAGCACTGAAAAATGGTGGTATCTAATGTTAAGATTCAGAAAAGAGACATCTCACAAGTTAAAACTAAATATATACAAGGGTACTTCAAAAAGTTCATGGAAAGATTCGTATTATCTTTGAGTTCTATTTTTCCACAAATTGTTTGACTCATATATATTTCTGTTTGATTTTTGTATTGTTGTTTTTACAAGTAAACATGTACTATGTAGAAAAATATTAGAAAACTACAGAGAAGCAAAAAAGAGTAAAACCCAACTACAGGCCAACTATCCAAATACTATTACTGGGTAAACTCTACTGGGTTTGTACCCTGCTATATCCCCAGCACCATGAACAGTGCTTGGTATATAGTAGGTGCTCACAAATTCCTTGATTGTAGACATGAATGTTCTAAAAGCATTGTAGCAGGCTTTTCATTGGTTTAAGTTAAGAACAGAAAATGGTTATGCCACTGTGATTCAGCTTCCTATACAGACTGTGTAGAAGGGACAAGGTGCTAAGCTTTTTAGGAGTTGACATTTCTTCTGGCTGTTTGATTTTATAGCTTTTCCCCCTTCTATGCACCAAGTATGTTGAGGAAAGTTTGTAGCATTTATAAATAAATATAGGTGGTGGTGGTGGGGTGTTCATTCCCCTTGCATGTAACAGAGAGCTTACATTAAGATAATGGGGTATCCTGAGGTACTAAAAAAATGAGGATTAGAAATTTCTAGAAATATGGCCTAAGGAAATAATTGAATAAGTGAGTAAAGATGTTTATTCTAGGATGTTTATCACAGCTTCTTTGTAATGGTGAGAAATTGGAAACAACTGAGTTTTTCTGTGACAAATTTGAACTACTTGTGTAAATTAAGACAAACAAAAACAAAAGTTAAATAAATTTGGGTAAGAAAGTGAAGGATGGAATACTTGCTGAGAATGAAAACTGTAGAGTCCCCCACTGTTAGCTGTGCCGCTAGACTCCTTACTGAGACATTCTGAGATGCGGGTCTGGCACTCGTGGTCACTGTGAAAGCTAGCATGCCAGATCTCATCAGCAGCAGCCTGTGCTTGGACTCTGTCAGAGAAGGAAAGGAAGTTGCCATCTGGTGTATCTCGAGCTGCAAAAATGACTCCCCATTTGCCAGCTGGTTTCCATGGGCACCAGGGCAAAAAGAGAGATTAGGAACCAGACGAGGCTGTTTAGCTGTGGGGTAGGTGTTGGTCAGACTGTACATCAGGATGTAAAACCCAGCTGCTGAGGTTGGGGACCACACCTGTCATGGGCACAACCATAATCTCATCCCCAGAGCTAGAATAGCCCTACAGGCAGCAAGGAATGGAGGCTCTGAGGCATTGGGTCCTCCTGCTGTGTGGAGAGACTTTTTGCATAGTCAGTCTTCTTCAGAAGGATAGAGGCCACCTGAGGGTACTCTCTAACCCTACTGCTCAGCCATATTGTGGCCAGAAGGTTGGGAAATTAGGAGATATAGAGTGTGTGTGCGCGCATGCATGTATATGTATGTACATGCTTATTTTTTAACATACCAACCAGAATTCAAACTGGTTACCTGACTTGTTCAGGTAAGATCTTACTTAGTACTTACACCCAGGGGGTCCCTGATGTGGATGCTCCAACCAGGGCAGATCCTCATAGGACTCTTTGGCCCTTGTGGACACTGTCTGGTTGAAGCTTATCTGTTCTGGATGCTGCCTTGTGTAGGGATGGCCAGCTGATGGGCTGAATCATAGGGGGCTTTTGTTAGAGGAACCAGGAGAAGCACCAACACTGTTTCCATTATGGTAGCTGGATGGACCACCTCTTCCTTCCTGGCTTCTTCACCTCAGATTAGAGTGAATTGACTTTGTGGGTTAAATGTATTTTCCAGCACCTAGCTCAAGAAACAGAATGTTGCCAGCACGACCTTCCTCCCTCCACTGCCCCCTCTAGCCCTCATATCCCCATGCAGTCTTTACTCCCACTGATGATAACCACTGTCCTAAAATAGTGGATTAGTTTTGTATGTGATGTAAGTGGAATCACATAGTGTATTTATCCTCTTTTGTGTCTGCCTCATTCACTGAGCATTATGTTTTGAGACATCTATATTGTTGCCTGTAGTCATACCTTGCTTTTTGCTCTCTGATGTTCTACTGTGTGATTATAACACAGAGTATCCTTCTTACAATTGATGGACATCTGGGTAGTTTCCAGGTTTTGGCTATTACAATACTTGTAGTAGTGTTGGACATGAACATTTTTGTACATGTCTTTTGGTGCACATATTTATACATATCTCTTGGGAAGGAGTGAAAGTTCCGGGTTATTGGGTATGCTATGTTTAATTGTAGTAAATATTACAAAACAGTTTTCCAAAGTGCTTTTACAAGTTAATACTTCCACCAGCAGTATATGAGAGTTCTGGGTTGCTCCACATCTTTACCAACCCTTGGATTTTGTCTTTTTAGTATTAGCTGTTTTGATGAGTGTGTCTTGGTATCAGATGTAGTTTCAGTTTGCATTTTTTTTTTTTTTGTCCTTTTTGAGACTGGCCGCACCACACTCAGCCAGTGAGCGCTGTGAGCGCACTGGTCATCCCTATATAGGATCCGAACCCGCAGTGGGAGCGCTGCTGCGCTCCCAGCGCCGCACTCTCCCGAGTGCGCCATGGGCTCGGCCCTTCAGTTTGCATTTTTTTTTTTTTTTTTGTCCTTTTTGAGACTGGCCGCCCCTCGCTCAGCCAGTGAGCGGCTGGTCTGTATGTGGGATCCGAACCCTCGGCGGGAGCGCCACCGCGCTTCCCAAGCGGCGCACTATAGCAGTGCGCCACCAGGCCAGCCCTTGCATTTTTTGATGAATATGAGCTCCTTTTCACGTGTTCTTTTGGCTATTTGGGTAGCTTCTTTTTGTTGTTGGTTTTCTTTTGTGGCTGGCTATATGAGGATCCGAATCCTTGACCTTGGTGTTATAACACTGTGCTCTAACCAACTGAGCTAACCAGCCAGCTCCAGGAAAGCCTCTTTTATGAAGTCCCTGTTCAAGTCCATTTTTCTATTTGGGTTATCTGTCTTTTTCTTATGTTTGGTAGGAATTCTTTATGTAATCTGTCAGATAAATATTTGCAAGCATTTTCTCCACTCTGTATTGTCTTTTTAGTTTTAAATGATGTCTTTTGACAAACAGAAGCCTTTATAATGTTAACGTAATTGAATCTATAATTTTTTCCCTTTATGTAACACTTTCTGTATCCTGTTCAAGAAATACTGGTGTACTACAAGGTCATGCAAATGTTCTCAGTTTTTTTTTTTTTTAAAGCCTTATTATCTTTTACCTTTATATCTGCAGTCTAGTTGGTATGGATTTTCATGTGTGGTATGAGGTAGGGATTGAGATTTACTTTTTTTCCATGTGGATATCTGATTGACCCAGCATTGTTTTCTAAAAGAACTTTCCTTGCTGCACTGCAGTGTCGCCTGTGTGCGTTGGACAGGGATGACGGAGATGAAGCTGATAAAGCACAGGCATAGTGAGACACAGGGATTCTGACTGCTATTCTCAATCTCAGAAAAAGAAGATATTTTTCTTCCTCTCAGTAAGTGGGAATTTTAATTGTGCTTCTGCCTCCAGGATACCAAGGGTTCGTGTTCTGGAGGATGAAGAGGGGTCGAAGGACATTGAACTGTCCGATGACCCTTATGACTGCATCCGACTAAGTGTGGAGAATGTCCCCTGCATTGTCACTCTGTGCAAGGTGTGAGCTTGTATCTTATGGTTTTTGTCTTCCCTGTGGATGTGGGTCTCCTCCAACCCTAGCCTGTTGAGGTTACTTAATAGGTTCAGAAGTTATAGCTTAACAAACCATATAGAAGTAGCTTTAACCCAAATGCAATAATTTGATTATGTTAGAAACTACTACCTTGAGTAGCTTTTTCTTTTCTTTTTAATCGGAAGATATGACATAGTCCTAGGAACACACAAGTGGGTTTATAGTAGCCAGAGTTTGTTAAGCTCCTTCTGCAAACTGTGCAGTTCACTGAAGCACCCTGTATGCATGTTTCCTTTAATTTTCTCAACTCTGTGGGGTCTATGGTGGTTGAGTAGTGGTAGAGTGGAGAACACTGTCCCCTCTCTGGGCCCCAATGTCCACATCTATGAGATGAGGATTTGGAGCAAGCCCTGGGTATCTAAAGTGTCAGGTGTGGTTTTTACATAGCATAGAGGCCTGTGAAGCCTAACATCTGGCTGATGCTGAGGGGTAACTAGCACTGCCTCAGGCTGTGCAAAGAGGTCTGTGTGGGCTGGGATTGTGGCTAATTCCACACAGGATTCATTATACAAAAATAAGTCTGGATCCCTGTACCAGCCGGCAACCAAATAAATAAAGAAATAAATGAGGCTGAATGGGTCAGGTTTAATTCCACTAAAATTGCTTCATGAACCTGGGTGTGGCGAAGTGTTCAGACAGAATGATGTTGGCACTTGACTCGTGCTTGAGCATTTCCTTTAGCATGGACCCTCTTGGTTCACTTTTGCCATCAGTGCAACAACCATGTGGCATCACGTGTGAATTTCTCCCTGTACCCCTCTGTTGGAAACCCATGGTGGCCTCTGACTTGGATGGTCTCTGAATTATAGTTCTAACCCCCTTCACCCCATTTTTCCATCTCATATTTTTATTACACACAGTGGCCTGCAATAAATTGTTGAACAGTCCTTCTTCCTTATGAGAAGAGTCTAAAATAAGATCTTGAATGCGCAGTGCAAGTCCTTGGCCTGGTGTAGATGTTCTTACCATAAGGCCATCAATGGTGGGGTTCTGGGCTGTGTGTCACCCACGTGTGCTGTGCTGCCCCGACTTTTCAGATTGGCTATCGGCATGTGGTGGATGCTACTCTTCAGGAGGAGGCCTGCTCCTTGGCCAGCTTGCTGGTGTCGGTGACTAGCAAGGGAGTTGTGACGTGCATGAGGAAAGTGGGGAAGGGCAGCCTGGACCCTGAGAGCATCTTCGAGATGATGGAGGTAAGGCTCTGGTTCAGAGGCAGGAGCTGAGACCTGGCTGGGAGCACTTGCTGCTTCCTTCCCCCTTGGTCACACAAGGGGAATTCTCCCCATTCACACCCATGACCCTAGACTTGGAGCTTGGAGAACAGCTGGTGTGAGCTGGGGTCTGCTGACCTAGCCAGGGGAGTGGAGGTGGGGGCTGTGGACTGGGAGGTAAGGAACCTGCCAGTAACCATTGCTTATCCTCAGCAAGTCCGTCCCCATCTCTTATCCCAAGTTTCTACATTCTAAATAAGAGTATTAGACTTTGATAGTGTAAAGAGTCACTTGTAACTCCAAAATTATAAGCTTTTGTGATTTGCTGAGGGAATTGAACTCCTGGCTGACTGCTTACTGTCCCTTGAAAGGAGTAAGTGGAACAGTGGAACCAGGGCCTGAAGGGCAGCCATCTCCCGGATTCTTCACAGGTCTAGAAGTATTTAAATGCAAAATAAACTGCCTGGGAGTGGGGTCGATTGCTCCCCTGGAGTCCCTCAGCCCTGGCAGCCCATCAGGGCACTTGTCCACCTACTCTGTACTATTTGCACCAGTGTCCATCTTCCTCACCGGCCTGGCAGCCCCTCTGGGTCAGGGACCTGGTCCTGCTCAACTGGTCTTCCCAGACCTTCCTCTCTCAACAAGACTTCACCTTTCTTTCTGACCAATTGACTGACTAAACTGCCAGGAACAGAGTTAGCTGGATCTGATTCTTTTTTTCTTTGCTAACCACTATATCACCACCCATGCCCAGAGATCACCACATAATAGCAAGAAGCACTCTTCCTTCGTTCTCGGAAATGATGACTTTTCACTGAAGAATCCAGGCACTTGATGTCTGTTTTCTCTTATTTAAAGAACAAAGTAGGCAATGTGTATAGTGTGGAGGACCCAAGCATGTGCCATGAAGATATACTGGCCAGGCTGCAAAGTCTGGCTCCAGGCCACAGTTCCCTCATCTGCAAAGTGGGAATGACAGTAGTGTCTGCCGCTGAGGTTGTTATGAGGGTTGTGTGGGGGTGTAGAGGTGAAGCATGTGTCAGAGTGTCTGATACATCGTCAGTTCTCAGTAAATGTTAGCTCTTGTTCTCTATGCTCCATTAAGTACCCTGAGTTCACATTTCTCCAGAAGCGCTTACAATGCTTTATAAGCTCTACCAAAGACCTCTGTAGACGAGTGACTCTCAAACTTGGCTTTAGAAGGAACTCCTTCCCCCTGCCCAAGAAAATTTTATGAGAATTCCAGTATCTAAACAAGAAAAAAAACCCAATAAACGAATAGTTAAAATTTATTGTGTGTTCACTATGTACTTTAAATATATTATGTCAGGCTTTAGAAGGAACTCCTTCCCCCTGCCCAAGAAAATTTTATGAGAATTCCAGTATCTAAACAAGAAAAAAAAACCAATAAACGAATAGTTAAAATTTATTGTGTGTTCACTATGTACTTTAAATATATTATGTCATTTAATCTTCAACAGTCCCATGAGGTAACTATTGTTATTATCCTCATTTTTACAGATGAGGAACGTGAAGCACATAGAGGATAAGTAACTTGCCTACAGGTCTCATAGCTCATAAATGCTGGAGCTAGGATTCAAACTCAGACTGTGTGCCCGCAGAGCCCCCACTCTCAGCCACTCTGCTATTTTAACCTGATTGACCAGGTTTGTTTGGCTGTTGTGGATGGCACAGTCAGAGCTCTGTCCAGTGAGCTG